TCTTCTTCAAAAGAATATGAGCCTTTCTTAATTGGTATTATTTTTTCAAATTCTTCTATTTCCTTTCGCGTCGGCATATGAGACCCAGCTCGTGTTTCAATCGTATGTTGTGGTGGTATCGTGTGTCTCAATTGTACGTTTAAATTTTTCAATTTCTGCAATAAAAAATAGTTATACAAAAATATATTATATATATATATAAATGTTTTAAATAAAATGTATATATATATATACATTTTATTTAAAACATTTTTGTCAAATTAAAAGATTATATTACGAATATTTCTGTTTGGCAAGGACTCTCTGCTAATGCCATTTGCCGCGCTAGATATGTTACTTCACTACAATATTCTTCTATACCTTCATCTTCAGATTTATTCTTTACCCTATGAATGTATTTGTTCTTCCAAAATTTCTTCGAATCGTGATTTTTTTCCTGTAATGTCTTCATTTTATTTCCAATATCTTCATCTATGATAGAAAAGAATATAATATAATATTTTTACATAACATTCTTATACATATAATTATTCTTATACATAATATTTTTTCACTATACCTTCATCCTTACATTCAATTGTATCTTCATTCTTCAACTCTTTCTTTAAATCGCTATCTTCATTCTGTGATATTTCTATTCCATTCTCGATATTTTTACTTTTGCATTTAACTTTCTCAACATTTATATTCTCTGATTTTTTCATTAAATTATTATCATTATTCTGTGACATTTCTATTCGATTCCGGATATCTTTATTCTTAAATCTCTTAAGTTTAACTTTATAGGCATTTTTATTCTTGGATTTTTCCATTGAATTATTATCTTGTAGCATTTCTATGTTACTTCCAATATCTTTATTTTCGCACTTAATTCGAGCATTTTCATTCTCTGATTTTTCCATCGAATCGCTATCTTCATCCCATGAGATGTTTTTCTTATTCAGAATATTGTCACCTTTGCATTTAACTTCATGGGTATCTTCATTCTCCGATACTTTCATTGAATTGCTACCTTTCTTTGGGGCTTTTTTCTCATTCTGGATATCTTTGCCTTTGTGTTTAACTTTATGGACCAAGTGTGTTTCTTCGATGCAATACTCTTTTTTCGTATCTTCATTTTTAGAACTAGCTTCATCAGTATATTTGTTTTTCTTGTTATTTTTATTCTGCGATACTTTTACTCTTTTTCCAATATCTTCATTCTCCGAAACATACATCGAATCGCTATTTTTATTCTGTGATGTGTTTATCTTACTTTTAATATCTTTATTTTGGCCTTTAACTTTATGGGGATATTTATTTTCTGATTCTTCCGAATCACTATCATTTTGTGATATTTTTATACTCCACATATCTTTATCTTTGCATTTAATTTGCTGGGTATCTTTGTCTAATTCTTTCACTGAATCGCTATCTGAATTTTGTGATATTTTTATCTTCTTCCTAATGTGTTTATTTCTATATTTAACTTTATGGATGTCTTCATTTTCTAATTTTTCCATTGAATCATTATTTTCATCTTGAGACGTCTTTCTCTTCTCAATATTTTTATCTCTATATTTAACTTTATATATATCTTCATTTTCTGATATATCTTCATTTTCTTTCGTTAAATCACTATCTTCACTTTGTGACATTCTTGTCCTTTTCCTTATATCTCTATATTTAACTTTATAGGTATCTTTATTTTTAATTTTTTTCTTCAAATCATTATTTTCATCTTGTGATGTTTCCATCTTAATTTTGATATTTTTGTCAGGAGATTCTTTTTTATTGTGGACATCATTATCCTCATATCCCATTCTGATATTATAAGTAATGCTATATACTAAAACATAATCCAGTTTTATTAACAACTTCAAAGATTACATTATTATTGTAGATATAAATATCAACTTTGTTTAACTCGACTATATATAAGACAATATGTTTTACAAACTTATTTTCTAAAATCAATAATCATGTATTTATATATATAT